TTTGGGTACTCGCTGATGAATCTTGGGCGTCACTCGGTTTACTGTCAGTAGAATCGCGGTTCCAGGGGCCGGTTGGAGGCGGTATTTCGTAGTTGACAATCGGCTTCGCGGCTTTCTTGAATGCCCGGAACAACGACAAGGAAAACTTTTCGAGCTCTTTGCAGTTGCTAAACAAGAGCCTCTTCTCCTTTTCGCTCATTAAGTTCTGTGCAGTAGCTTCAAAGATGTTGTGTGCGATCATCATATCAATGCAGAATTGATGCTCAGTGGTGAGCAACTCTTCCAGTGTACGATACCGCTTGATCAGCGCCTGCTTCACCGGATCAGGCTGGCCATCTTCCCCCTTTTCACCTTCGGTCGGCGTTGGCACAGATGTCTCCATAGGTTGTGGAGTGCCATATCGATCTTCTAGACTTTTCTCATGAATATGAATGACTGGTGTACGCGACCGAGCGGGGTGCATCTCGAATTGCTCGTCGCTGAGTGTGGGTCGAGAGAGTTGGTGGTGTGACAGATGATTGTACGAGGCGTTTTGCGAAGCTACTTGTCCGTCAATGGACGGCTGAACGGGGGGAGGTGGGGGTGAATAGTTGGGCCGGGGTGGTGCGTTCAAGGGCGAATGCGGCATAGAATGCTGCAAGTCTAATCCAAGGCCACCATCGGTCCAGGCAAGCTGCGGTAGTTCAAGGCCATTAGTGGAAGCCGATGGACGATCGTTGGAGGAACTCTGTGACAATGCGTTGCGAGAACGGTTTCCGGAAGAACTGCCAGAGTGGGATGCATCTTCCTGAATGGTAGTGGTTGTTGATGCGCCTGAATAACGTCGCGACGATGAGGGATATATTATGGCAGTGCCACTAGGGGCAGCATCTGGCAACTGCTGGGGAATTTGTGGTGGGGTTCTCGATGGACGTGGCGGTGATGTTGTGTTACTTATCTCAAGCTTGGTAGTGTCGCGTGCTGACCCATTTGCGTCACTTAGCAATCGTGCAAGGTATGTCTCGGTAGCCTCTTTGGACCCCCAATCCTTGTGCTGTGCTATGACAGGGGAGACTTGGTGTACTCGTTCCCGTGACACGGACGCCATTTCTGGCGAGATGACGGGTGACTGATGGTACATGTTCAAGACTGAGTTCACCACACTATATGTTTCTGTGTTTGGTGTAAGAGACACACGTTTTCGGTGAGCCGCTACGCTAGCCGAATCATCCGGATAAAGTGTGTCACGCTTCGGATAGGGTGCGGATAGAGCCTCGTTTGCATCGTGGCCATGATCCGACTTGAAGTCAAACGATAGAGCCTTGAGGCCTTCGTTAAAGGTGTCGGTGTCGGACTCCCAAGGTTTTGTGGACTGCTCATCGCTGAGCATGATTGGTATTGATTCCCTGACGCCTAGCTCTGACTGTTCAATGTCGGGTGTGTGAGAGACGCTGTTCTGGGCAGAGGCATGGAAGACGTTGGGTTGTAAGAGCTGCTCGTCCGAATTCTGACGGGCTGTCGGTGGCGTAAGGACGAAACTCCCGGGTAGTCCCAGCACAGGCGATTCCTCGAAATCGGTCACTGCCGATTGCGGTTGGTTGGGCGGGGGTACGGTCAAGGTAGAAGTCTGGAGGCTCAAGTGTTGTTGGTCCGGTGGACATGAGTCTTGGTCGTGCGAGGGACGCTTCGCCTGGGCATGTGCCTCGAAAGATTGCTCAAGTTCAGCCACGCCGGGGAGTCCCTCTGACGGCTCCGGTTGGAGTTGGAAGCTGCTTGCAATTGGAAAGTATCCGTGTTCGTCCTGTCGGTCGGAGCTTCGGGAGCGGGAGGCAGGCGAAGGCTGGAGAGGCTGTCGTTCTCGCGAGTTCCGCAGCCGAGGCGATGTTGGTGGAGGCGGGGCGGTGACAACAGCGGCTACGCTTGGTCCAGGCCTCACACCTAGAGGCGATTTTCCTCTTTCACGATATCCGCGGTAGGCTAGAGCGGGCAGCGTTGATTGGTCTGCACCACGTGAGGTTGGGGTGGCAGCGGCAGCGGCTAGTACCCTCTCCATTCTTGTGGGGGATGTCCTATTGCTGTGGCTCATTGCGCGTGTGGGAGTGTATTTTACGGAGCGGGTCGAGGAATTGGAGTCTGAGCCAATGCTCATTCGTCGTGTGGCTACGGGGATTCGTGAGCGTGGAGTGTGCCGCGCGGGTGATCGCGACTTTGTTTGATCGTGAGACTGTGTGCGTTGCGAGTCTTGCAGCGATACTGCAGTCGGGCCACTAGCCGAGCGTCCATGGCGGGAAGTGTGGTGGGACGTTGAAGGCAATAGAGCCTCTCCCAACGTGCCGTCGACGGTGGGAATTCCGAAGCCAGGCGATGACACATCCTGGCCAGTCAGTACTTCGCCAAACAGCTGCCGTTGACCAGATGTCGACGGGCGACTTTGTGAGGCAGATTTTGTTTTTGACGACGAGGCATGCTGGTCGATGCTGGCCTTTATGCCATTTGTGCGGCGCGTATTCCGAGGGGTCGCAGGAGCAGGTTGGGGTCTTTCCCTGGGCTTCAAATTGCTGAACTTGTGGGGGCCATACGAGGCCTCTCTGCTGGGGCGCGCGGCCGACGCGGTGGACGAGACCGAGGCATTGGCACGGCGGTGGACGTCGTACGAAACAGCCCTGGAGGGATCGCGGGACCTGGAGCGCAGCGTGGACGAGGCCGTGGGCGAGGTAGCGTCGGGGGAGCGCTCAAAGCGCTCAGCAAGTGCTTTTACTTTGTTTGACTGGTTTGGGGGGGAGCGGGTGGCCGAGGCGGAAGCGGGCGAGGCAGTGGTAGAGGCGGGAGTGTTTTTGGCGGCGTTGGCATTGGAGTGTCGGGGGCGCGCGGTGGGCATGTCTAGGCTGTGTTGCGGTGAGGCAGGAGCTTGGAGCTCGGTTGAGGTGGAGGTGTAGGCCGAATAGTACTTGTCTGGCGAGGCGGCCAGAGCATCTTCGGGGGGGTGTAGTTCGGTGGATTGCAGCCAGGTCGATACGGAGAGGCCGGGGTCGTATGCATATCCATGCGCCTGATCAGACTCCATCTCCCATTGCTGGCGGGCGCAGGAGCGCAGAGGCAAGGCAGCGCCGTCGTCGTGGGGAGAGGCGGTCCAGTGTCGGGCAGAGCAGCGGAGCAGCGCAGAGCAGCGCAGGGCAGAGCAGCAGCCGGGGGTGCCAGCGCAGCCAGCGCCAGCCGTCTATTGGACTGGGGGAGAGGCGAGGGGCACAGCCAATCGCGGCGGACACACGCCTGCCGTCGCCCGGGCCTGCACGGTTGAGCGTCACACCGGCGCAGAGGGCGTGAGAGCGGGTGCTTTGGGGGGGGGGTCGTGGATGTGGTCGGTGGTTGTGGTGGTGCGCTTGGGGGGGAGTGTTGCCGGGCGATAGCGCTGCCACTGGGGGCAGTGAAGGAATGCAGTCGAGGTGCCTGGAGCAGCCCCCCAGGATCGAGCTAGGAAACGGGACAACAACGGTGCCGCAGGGGGGACACACGGCTTGGAGACGGCCTGGAGACAGCTGCAGACGGGCGTAGACAGGTGCAGACAGGCGCAGACAGGCGCAGACAGGCGCAGACAGGCGCAGACAGGTGTAGACTGACAGCGACGGGGCGTGGGCTTGGAGCATCAGATACGCCCAGTGTTCCTCATGTGCATGCATTACTGTCTGGCTGTCCGCCCGCCTGTTCCCTATGCCTCGTCCTCCTTGTCCTTGTCCTCCTCTGCTGCAGCCGCTACCACCACTACCACCATTTCCACTACTCTACATACTATTCCCACATCTCGCTTCCCAGCCAGTAGCTCCAGGCGCCAGTTGGGCGAGCAGGCTATGCTAGCGAGTACCGTCCTCCGTGTGCACCTATTGATTGTATCTCGTTACGTACCATGTGTCTATCTATCTATGTACAAGTGCATGTGTGCCTGCTGCACCCCTAGGGGCTCATGGCACAGATGGCACCCTCCAGTCCGCCCACCAGCGCTCGCCATCTGCAACCAGCGTGAAACCGAGAGAGCGAGTGCCATGACGGAACACAAACTCCAGCCATCCACCACCTGCTCTCCCCTGGCATGGCGCGTCCCGTCGCGTCTCTAGCGTCCCCGTAGCTTCACGCCCCACCACCCCTGCCCGGCCAAGCAACAACCACACGACTCGGCCACCATCTGTCTGCTGTATGTCCCCATCCATCTATCCACCCATTCACTTGACCGCCCTGTCGTCCAAAACACCACGCCCACCATGAAGAGGAAGCGCGGCAATCATGACGCTGCCCGCACCGCCCCCGTGGGGGTGTCCAGCAAACAATTGGCCGCTGCCGACCAATCCCCCAATGCCACACCTCCCCTCCTCCATCATCACCCCCATCCAGTCCTGCACCGTCTCTATCCCCAACTCTCTACCCTGCGCCACTATCTGCTGTCAAGGCTGCCCCCGTCGTCCAAGAATAGACACCGGAGAATAGCCCTGCTTGGACGTGCCCCTCCGGCTCCGGCTCAAGCTTCAGACACCAGCCCTGTGCAACATGTCGATTACACCGTGGCGCAGCTGCTCGACTCGGCCTTGGTCGGCTGTGCAGCACACGTAACCGCACAAGAACACGCACTTGCTGCCAAGGAACGTGACCAAGATCTACAGACATTCACCCAGCAGCGCTTACAAAGTACCCAAGGGGCCACTTACAAGCCTGGCTACTACAAGCAGCCCGAGGTATGTCGCGTCACGTGCCTGGCCTTTCCTGTGCTGCCCGTCTGCGCTGCATCTCCATGAGCCGCTACTGAGTACATGTAGATTGTTGACTATGTGATTTGGCGCCTGTTTACCCGCTCTTCCTCTTACAGGCCTGCCCATGTGCTCTGCCACGGCTTCCAAAGGGCTGCAAGAGCCCGCAGTGAACAGCACCATGACCCAAATACGGGAGCCTCCATCCCTGGCCTGCAGCAAGTCCACGACAATAGCCATGTGCAAACTCTAAAGGACCCTGTGTGGTGCCGATTACACGCCCTCTTAGGGCAAAGCGGCGATCGTATCATGATGGACCTACTTTTAGACTGCGCCATCTTTCTTCCCGTCGAAGCTAACATGGGAAACTACTACCAGCTCTCAGGCATGCCCCTGTCTGAAGTGCAACTTGACAGTGTTGTGAGCAATGGTCCAGGAAACACTAATACAAATACCCAGCCAATTGCAAAGTCACTATATCTCCAAAGCGAGGACAGAACGCCTGGGTCAATTACATTTGTCCGTAGTCGCATGTTGTATGCAAAGGCCGCCCTGAATGCAAACGGGGGCGTCAGATTCGGCCTGCGCCATATACGTGCGTTCCCTGTCTCATCAATTTGCACCTCCTGACATGATTTGTAGACGTCTTGAATCGGTACCCTGACCGAGCCGACAAGCAGCAGACAGTTCACATTATGCGTTACATCTTTCCTCGTCAATTTGGCTTGCACAATGTCTTCACTTCAAAGGTAGATGCTCGTGAAAGTGCCATGCCTTTCAAAGACTACACACTGCGTGAGAAAGATATTCATACCAGCATGTGCCGCCAACTAGGCGACAAGGCAACTGGTGCCGACCAAGTGGCCCAGTGGAAGCTGCACGTCCCCAGGAGACTTCGTGGCAATGTAATAAAGCTGATTGAAAAACTCCGAATTTTAAACCAACGCTGTTCGTACACGGAGCTACTTCGCCACTATTGTCCCGTTGAGGTGTTTCTTGCCATTCTCTTGGATCACAGCCTTCACTGACTTCAATAGGGCATGCCGTTATCTACACAACCTGAATCGAAGAAGAGCGTGGCCCACCCCAAAGCAAATGGAACAGTAGCCACACAACTGGCCCAGGGTGGCCGGACCCATTCTCCCATGTCTGAATCTAGCTCAACGCAGCAAAACTGTGTCCTCGGCATGGCTTGTCCTGCGGCACATGTTTCGGCCTTTTGCCGTAGGGTCATATCCAAAGTCATACCGAAAGATGCATGGGGTGATGGTCATAATGAGCATATCGTCATGTACTGGATAGACCAGTTTGTAGCTTTGCGGAGGTTTGAGTCGCTTACCTTGCATCAAGTCACACAGAAGATACATGTACGTCTTTTCAGCCCCTCTTTCGGGGTGTTTACTAAGCCAACGCAGATTACTACCATTTCATGGCTTTGCCCACCAGGTCAAGACAAGGGCTGCAAGCTCTCAAAGTCGGATCTGGACAAACGTACAGAGATATTTCTAGAATTTGTCTACTGGGTGTTCGACTCCTTCCTAATCCCCTTGATCCGAACCAACTTCCATGTGACGGAATCAAACACCCATCGTAATCGGCTTTTCTACTTTCGCCATGACATCTGGCGTATGCTTGCCGAACCTGCTCTGAGGACACTGCGCCTGAATATGTTTGAAGAGCTGCCAAAAGACAGAGCAACAAAGCTACTATCCGCACGTCAGCTCGGTTTTAGTGACATACGCTTGCTTCCCAAAAAGCAGGGCTTCCGGACTATCATGAACCTCAGACGGCGACAACAGGTGTTGCGCCATGGAGCCATGGCGCTTGGGCGAAGCATCAACACAGTCATGACACCCGCCTTCAACGCCATAAATTATGAAAAGGTCAGTATACTGTCCGTGCCGAATTGACCGTGCTTAACCATATTGTAGTCGTTACAACCCGATAAGTTTGGCTGCTCGCTATTCTCTGTTGGGGATATGCTGCCAAAATTAACAGCATTCAGGAACTCAATTAAACAGCGGGGCCTTGACCACAAACCGTTCTATTTCGCCAAGGTCGATGTGCAGGCTTGTTTTGACAGCATACCTCAATCACGTCTGTTGAGCATGGTTGAGAGCCTCATGTCGACACAGGAATACTATACAAGCAAGCACGTCGAGATGTCTGCCCTGGGTCCTCTGCAGCGCCTCAATGGCAACCATGTGAACCCCATGCCCCGCAAGCGCTATGTTGCATACAGCCATGCAGCAACCGACGTGACGCCTTTCCATCAGCTCGTGCGGGACAGGTTCGTGGGGACCAAGGCGAATACCGTCTTTGCGAACATGAACATGCAACGCTGCGAGACAAAAGATGATTTGATGTATCTCTTGCGGGAGCATATCGAGCGGAATGTAGTTCGGATTGGAAAGCGATTCTACCGCCAAAAGACGGGAATCCCTCAGGGTTCTGTCTTGTCGAGCATTCTGTGTAACTTCTTCTACGCTGAGCTTGAGCGAGACGTTCTTGACTTTGCGCTTGGTGACGATTGTCTCTTACTCCGTCTGCTTGACGATTTTCTTTTGATTACCATCACCGAAGAGCACGCTAAACGCTTCGTGCAAGTCATGCATCAAGGCCACCCCGAGTATGGTGTCGTGGTGCAGCCTGCAAAATCCTTGACCAACTTCAATGTGACTATAGCTAACGGTGAACGAATTGCTACAACCGGGCCAGGCGGGAAATTCCCTTACTGCGGCACCTGCATTGACACTACGACTCTCGAGATCAGCAAGAAGACCGAGCGGCCACCAAAAGCCGGTAAGTAGTATTGGCCGACAGGTGGGTCGAAAGTGCAGATTGCTAAGTAAAACAGTTGTTGAGGATTCTTTGACGGTGGATCTGGCAAAAATGCCGGGCCAGACTTTTCATCGCAAAGCTCTCAAGTGAGTTCCTTGATGGGGCCCCATGCCTGTTTTCCCTCTGCCAGCCAATCGGACTAGAAAATGCATGGAAAAGCCCGACATTGCGCTGACACATTGGTAGCGCATTCAAGATCCAGCTCAAAGCCATGCTTATCGATTCATCGTTGAACAGCGTGGCAACCGTGCTAGCGAATGTATATCAAAGCTTCTATGAAGCGGCGGTGAGGTGCCTTGAATATGCACGCGTGCTATTCAAAGTGCGGAAGATGGGTTCAGGTCTGCTCATTAGTAGGTCGATTTACTTGTTTTTTTCTCTATCTGTAACTCCCGAGAACTCAACAGCACCCCCAAACCGGCGTGCAGTCGGGTAGTAGGGGCTCATGTGCAGGATTGGAAAAAGCGAGCCAGAAGAAATGGGTGGGCGATCGTCACTGCGAGGCCGACCTGCGCTAGTGGGCCGAGTGCATCATGGACTGACTTGGATTGCAGAGACTGTAGAAAACATCGTGACGCTGGCATACGTGATGCTACAGCGCCGTTCGCGCTCCTGCAGGAGCAGAGAAGCGATAATTGCGCAAAGCGTCATCTCGCGCCGGCAGCTTCAGTGGTAAGTGCAGCATACCTTGGAATGATGTCGCATGGTGCGCGGGTGCACGCTCCATGATTCGTCGAGATCAACCCCATGGTTCGGAATATGACATGGGGGCGCTCATCTCGCCTGTTTCTGACAACGGCTGATTGACGAGATAGGCTGGGCTGCAAAGCTTTCCAGGCAGCGTTTCAGGGAAAGCAAACGCGGCATCGTGCTTTATTGGATTGGCTTAAGGTCTCGCTATCGGCTGCATGCATTTCAAGCGAAATAGAACGACGCATGTTGGAGGATGTCATAGCAGGGCATTGAAGCTGGACACCAAGACACAATCTCTGCCCTACCAGGACACATTGGCGAGTTTGGGAGGATGAACGGAATGCAAACAAACAATAGAGCACATGCAACCCAACAACGGCGATGAAGAACAAAAGTCCCGAAAACACAAAAGCACTGCCACTGCTGTAGATAGCAATGGTACCTGTCTGTTCGGCGGACCTTGCTGGCCGGGGGGGGAAGCTAAGGAAGAAGCAAACCAAGGATCTGTACCGGGGGCCCACGCCACGCCATAATTAGCGGCGGCATGTAGACGCGAAAGCAAGACTCGAGGCTTGGCTGCAGGACATTCGGGAGTGACGGATGGATAGCAGGGCGCGATGATGTCTTTGTTCGGTACTCGACGCAGAGCAATTGGGGATAGCAACAGGCGAAACGGCGTAGTCTGTACGCGGACCAGGCCTGGTTCCACGAAAAGCATCGCGATGGGGCGTGACAGATGGCTGTGGGCTTGGATGATTGGCCCATCCGCCGGCCATGGGGTGGTGATGTCAAGCGCACATGCGACGGGCTGGGACACCCCCCAGATAGCTGGTGTGCTGGGGTCAAGTAGGCACATTTTCCAACGCGGAGGGCTTTGCAAAACGCATTGCTAGTTGCCCGTACCGAGCATGGCCCGTTTACAGAAGCATGCATACTTAGAAGGCTGACTCGACTTGGCCGCACTTGTCTCATAAGCTGGGCAGTCTGTCGAGACACGGGCATTGCATCCCCGCCCGGATGCCTATATACCAGCTTTCGCAAGGACAAAGACATTGGTTCGCAATTAAACGTGTTCAAGGCCACTTCAGCCGCCCATGGGCCCAGAGCACAACGAGGCCCACTGTTGTACACCCCTGTTCCCCATCTGAGAGATCAGGGGCTAGCGCCAGTTCCGCAAATTGCGCCGCCGACGCTCAAGATGCCTGCCGTACAACACTGCCAGCCGCTGCCTCCTGTTGACGAAGCCGACGACTCTGAATACCTCGACCAAGACGTCCACTACATCTCGCAGACAAAGTCGCTGTACATTGTATCCGAGCATCGTTATGTCCGCTCGCTAAGTCCGCCTCCCTGCGCGCGCGATTCTTGCGCAGACATCCTCCTTCACCGCATTGCCTCACCACCACCCCTCGCAACACCCCGAAAACATCCCCGACCGCTCATGGCCACCCTCACCTATGCGCAGGATGCGTCCTCGCACTTTGGCGCCCCGCCGGGCAGCCCGCCCGACCTGACAAACTCAAAGTCGTCTAAGTCGTCGAGCATCCATTCGTCCACCCTGCTCGACTTCATGGGCACCACCGAAAACCTCTCCCATTTTGAAGACATCAACCTCGACGAGGCATCGGGCGGGCCCACCTCCTTTCCCATGCCTACAAGTCCGTCCAACCGCCTTGTCTATGAAGCTCCGCGAGCCCCCGCCTCGGCCAGGACACTCTCACATCCCACCCAACACTCGTTTCGTGACCTCACAGGCACAGCCAAACCAAAGTATCCCAGTCTGGTGGGCCCCGTCAGCCATGCCGTACAAAGACAACAGGCGCAGCTGTCGGCACCTGGCAAGACGGCCAGGAGAGCCTTGACTTCGCCATCGGCTCCCTCGCTCAGCACTCTGGGTCTTGCAGCGCCACACCGCTCCTCGCGATCGCCCTCCCCATCAAGCACTCACAAATCCCTCTCAGGATCACGCACACTTTCCCGAAGAAGTTCCCGAAACGAGGTCTTGCCGTCTCCGAGTTTAGCTTCCAGAAGACAATCTTGGCAAGACTCAAAACGAAAGACTGTCAAGGAAAGAGAGGCGGAGTGTGATGATGAGGATGATGAAGTTCCCGAAGATGCTGTCATCTGGAATATTCCTATATCACCGCGTCCCACACAAGAGCGATCCCCGGTACCCTGGACGGGTGACAACACTCCCCAGACATCACCACTTCCCGGCACTGCGGAGTCTTCAGCAAAGCCATCTCCGGCGCCTTCGGTACACCACAGAGATCCATCACCAAATGTGTCTAGCAGGGGCGTATCCCCGAAATCACCGATACCACAAACTACATGGGCAGACACATATACTGCGTTGGACGCAGACGCCAGGAAGCTTACGGAAGCACTAGAGGAATTCCAATCCGAATATGAGCGGAAACAGGAAATCACAAGACAGCAGCCTGGGCTCGCAAGATCAGCATCTATGAGCCAGACAGTGCCAAAAACCAAGAAGCCGACACTCCCACCGGTGCGGAAGAGTGATCCACTTATCGATCCTTTCCAGCCATCCGTTGAAAAGCAAAAATACCTATCTCGGACACGGCCATCCTGGCTCCCACCAAAGGACCCCAAGGAAGAAAAGAAGCACCTCAAGGAGTACCAGCGCATGTTGGCTCGGATCGAGGAGGCTGGTAAGTAGTATTACTTCTCATGCAGTTTGTTGAACGACTGGCTAACAGACTTAGAACGCCTTGAGGCCAAACGTGCCCAAGAAGAGGCGCTTGCTCGCGAGAAAGCCAGCCGCATCAAGGCGGAATATTGGTCCAGCTTATTACTTCCAAACTGGGCTACCGAAATGACGAACCCAGAGCTTCGAGCGACACATCGAAAGATGTGGTGGAACGGCATTCCACCACGGCTGCGGGGTCAAGTTTGGCAAACGGCAATCGGCAACGACCTCGAAGTCACCGAGCTGACGTACAACATTGCGTTGGAAAAGGCACAGGCAGAAGTAAAAGCACACGGTCACGAAGCGCTCGGAGGCCGTTACCTTTACATTATCCAGAGCACGCACAAGGTCTTTCCTAAGCTCAAGATGTTTGCAGCGCAAACATCGCCGGAGAATGACGATGAGCAGCCGCTCCACAAGGACCTGGTCAATGTGTGTTTGGCTTATTCCATGTATCGGCCGGATATCCCACATTCGAGCTTCGATATTCATCACATTGCTGCATTGCTCCTGCTTAACCTCTCAGCTCCGCAAGCCTTTATCGCACTGTCCAACTTGCTTAATCGCCCATTGCCTCTATCGTTCCTCGTCCACGACCAAAATGCCATCCACGCCGCATACACGACCACTCTCCACGTGCTATCGAAGAAAGCACCAAGCCTTGCCCAACGATTGGAAACATTACGTGTCGAGCCCCGAGATTACCTCTTCCACGCTCTTGGCTCATTGTTCTGTGGACGCCTGGAAGTAGAGCACGCCGCACGCATCATGGACATTTACACAATCGAAGGCGACAAGAATCTCCCGCGAGCCGCCGTAGCTATCCTGTGTATACTAGAAGGTAGCTGCATGGAGGGTGATGTCGCGCAGGTAGCGCGTACCCTCAAGGCCAAGAAGATTGAGCTCGACGAAGACGAGTTCATGGCTCGCGTGTACGAAGCGGGCAAGACGTCGTAGTGGAGTGTCTCATAGTAGTACATTTTACTGTTTTTTCCGGCTGCACATACACACAGATACTCCATACATAACACTCACTCACAAAGAAAGAGAGGGAGGGGAGCGCAGTTCCAAGTATTAATACTTTGTTAGTTTTTCATATAGTGTGCTGTTAGTGGGAGGTTAATCGGCGCTTCTTATTTTGGATAATACGAGACCGCTCTGGAGGAAGAAGAAGGAGAAGTAAGAAGGAAGATGGAGAAAGAGAAAGGGAAAGCGACAAGGAGAGAGAGCAAGAGAAGAAAAAAAAGAGGCAGAAAAGACGATGATATACGAACTTTAACGCAGCGCGAAACACTTTGAAAGTTTGTTTGAAAGCTCGACACAGCATTTAACACCACCCACCCACCCCTTTCATTTCTCTCGTATCATCTAAATCACCCCCTCTTATTTTCTACATTTCTTTTGTTGTTTTACTTTGCATAGACGGCGGTTTTTTTGATTTCGTTTGTCCTTTTTTACTTTTTTTCCCTTGCACCATCATCATTATCACCAATCTCAAGAAGAAGATAATGGGAGATGATGGGCAAAAAACTAACTACCATGTTCACAAATACTTTGTATATATTATTGTTTTATTTTTTTGGTTTAAATCGAGAATCACACAAACAGACACATATAAGTGCTTTAGAGCTATAGGAGTGTAGTTGAGCTGGACAACCTGCGCGCTTATTTTTTGTATAGAAAGGAAGAAGGGAGGAAAATGAAGGATGTAGAAGTAGCTAGTATCAGAATCTGAAATCACTATTACTATATATACTATTGCTTCTTTTTTTTTTTCTTGTCACTGTGACGTCCCTTTACGTCTCCATTTTTTTTTAACTTTTTCTTCCCTTTCCCTGCATATACACCTCTCATCCCGAATTTCCAATAGTAGTCACATAAACATCATTTGGTAAACCCCTCCTCCACCTTACTATACATCACAACCTACAGCAATATCTGCGCGGGAGTGGTAGGTAAACTACGAAATCCCTTCTTAGCGGATAATCCAAAACTCCCATGTATGTATGTATGTGTCGTTCAAAGAAGAGTTGTATCTGGTGGCGTTAAGCCACCGTCTTGACTCGGTCTTATGGCGCAGAAAAACGTTGAGATTAAACGGGGGGTTTTTTTGGTCTTGGCCCTTTGTGAGCGGGAGAGGCGCCTTATGATGAGGGGAGGCGTTTTTTTTTTGGTGGAAATTGGCTATCAGTGCGGTACGGGATTGTGTTTGGGTGGGAATACGAGAGGGTGGCTTGATTAGATGTGTTTGAGGTACGGTGGGGGAGTTGTTTGATTGCTGCATGGGTTTATGGGGTAGGGTATGGTGGGTTGGTGGGAGTTTCGTGGGTTATGTGTAAGTAGGGAGGAGTATGGAGGTATGTTTGGTGATGGACGGTAGTCTTCAGATTTGGCTTTGCTTTTTGGTGTTACGATCGCGTTTTTGTCAATGCCGATTTAGACTACTTATGTCATATAAGCTGCCTTGTAGAGTACATTTCAGTCTTGCGATACTCATTGAAGAGTGTCTCCTTGCGTCGCACGAGCATGTTCGGCCGATTTGATGGATCTCGCGTTGTGTTGCGTCCAAAAGGGGATGACAAGACTTGGACGAGCCCCCTAAACCCAAGATGACCCACTCAAATTTTGGATGGTCTAGGGGTAAGGAGAGAGCAAGGCATACCTCATGGACTTGATATGATTGCCCAAGGTATTCACAGCGGAGCTCGGGTGTGAGTTTGTCGGGGTGGCATTGGGCGTCGTGGAAGCTTATGCAACAACATATGTTCCGATGCCAGGCCGGTCTTTGGCAGCACTTGTGCCAATAAGTAGACGTGATGCTTTCAGCACAAAAACGTATACATTGCCTCGAGAACATCGAAACAAGTCGTATAGCATGGAACGCCATCGCCCCATGGCAAACACGTCAATCAATCACGTGCACGTCGTCACATCAAAATGTACGACCGATCATTGCGCTCTCTCCCACTGCAAAAGCAGGGAGAAACCGCACCCAAGATCAGCCACTGTATTCCTCTCCACTTCACAGACGGTTTTCGTTCTCATGGAAACCTCACACCGTCCGTAGACGACGGGTCTCTCCAATGAAAATGCTTTTCGTGAGTGTGCAAATTTTTTGCGTTGTTCAATGGAGAAGAGAAGCCGGGGACGGGCGCAGCTGAAGTTTTGTGTCCGACACCCCGGCACAACCTTTCCCCGGTGCTAGACGCTTGGCACTGCCCCGCCACCACCACTCGAGGCTGTACTAGGTTTGAGTCACTTTGTGTGGGATTTGAAGTCGAAAGTTGGCCGCCGCCCGTCTCCACTGCAACCATCTGACCAACATCTTGACGCCCTCGCATCCGGCCGCTTAGATAGTCCTGTCCCTTCCCCGCCAAGAAGCAAAAAAGAAAACACACAGATTGCCCATTATGGAGTCCGAATCTGACAACGATTTCCGCGATGACAAGAGCGTATCTGAGCACGAGGAGGTTGAGGAGACAAAGCCAAAGTCTGCGCTCAAGAAGGGCCGGGAGCCAGCTCCCGTTGTAGAGCGTCCAGAATTGCCGTAGGTTTGCCAAAACATGCAGCCCATATATCAGCATCACGGCTAATGCGCACAAGCGAGCAACCAGACCCAAGCACCCTCGACGTCTCAACGCTGAGCCCGCTGTCACCCGAAATCATTTCCCGACAGGCTACCATCAACATTGGAACAATTGGTCACGTCGCTCACGGAAAGAGTACAGTAGTAAAGGCCATTTCTGGTGTGCAGACGGTCCGCTTCAAGAACGAACTCGAGAGGAATATCACCATCAAGCTCGGTTACGCAAACGCGAAGATCTACCAGTGCGACAACTCCGAGTGCCCGCGCCCCACATGCTACCGATCATACAAGAGTGAGAAGGAGGTCGACCCGCCTTGCGAACGTGAAGGATGCGGAGGACGATACCGATTGAAGCGCCACGTCTCGTTCGTCGATTGCCCCGGTCACGACATTCTCATGAGCACGATGTTGTCTGGCGCCGCCGTCATGGATGCCGCACTGCTATTGATTGCCGGAAACGAATCTTGTCCGCAACCGCAGACAAGTGAGCATCTTGCTGCCATTGAGATTATGAAGCTCAACCATATCATCATCCTTCAGAACAAGGTCGATCTCATGCGGGAGGACAGCGCTGCCGCCCACTATGAGTCCATTCTGAAGTTTATTCGAGGAACAGTTGCCGATGGCTCCCCCATTGTTCCCATTTCGGCGCAATTGAAGTTCAACATTGATGCCATCAACGAGCAACTCATCAGCAAGATCCCAGTCCCAGTCCGAGACTTCTCCGCAAAGCCACACATGATTGTCATTCGATCATTCGACGTCAACAAGCCTGGTGCTGAGATTGACGAGCTGAAGGGTGGTGTTGCTGGTGGCAGTATCCTGACTGGTGTGCTGAAGCTTGGTGACGAGATTGAGATTAGGCCTGGTATTGTGTCCAAGGACAGCGCCGGAAAGATTCAGTGCAAGCCCATCTTCTCAAGAGTCGTGTCCTTGTTCGCTGAGCACAATGACCTGAAGTTCGCTGTTCCTGGTGGTTTGATTGGTATGTACCCCCGTGTTGCCGCAGTGCTGATCATTGGACTAACACATGTCAGGTGTCGGTACACGTGTAGACCCTACTCTGTGTCGTGCGGATCGTCTTGTCGGTTTCGTCCTTGGTCTCCGTGGCCACCTTCCCAACATCTACACGGAGCTTGAAGTCAACTACTTCCTCCTCCGAAGGTTGCTCGGTGTAAAGACCGCAGACGGCAAGCAGGCCAAGGTCGCCAAGCTTGCAAAGAATGAAGTTCTCGTAAGTACAAAGCACGTGTTCAAACAGATTAAAAGGCTCATATCTTCCACAGATGGTTAACATTGGTTCAACCGCTACGGGTGCCAAGGTTGTCGCAGTCAAGGCTGACGCTGCACGTCTTTCCCTGACCTCTCCTGCATGCACAGAGATTGGCGAAAAGGTGGCTTTGTCCAGGCGTATCGAGAAGCACTGGCGTCTCATTGGATGGGCCAATATCGTGGCGTAAGTTTGACTGCATTCCCAACGACATATGCATGCTGACGATCTTGCAGTGGTAACATCCTTCAACCCATCGTCGATTGAGAGGGGAAGCGTGGCGGGGTAGCTCCTGGGGAGCTCACATTACACATTTGACGATGGGACGACGTGGACACGAACGATACGACGGCCACAATAACATGTGCATCATAGTTCTGAGCATTTATGTCTGGAGTCGGTTGCACTTGGGGATAGACACCAAAAAGCGTTTTCGTTTGCAGCTATGCCTTGGGCAGCGTCGGACAGGCAGGGGGGGTAGATGTAGCATCCCTAACACGGAAGATCTAGTGTATCAGTACAAAATGTCCAACAGAATTGGCCGAACATAATGAAACATGCCCGATCCACTAGAATTGTTGAGAAAGCGGATGACAGCGGAGCAATAAGCGGAACCGTGTGCGTGGGCCGATCTTCACATGATAGCACTCCGGTGACACATGTGAGGGCAAGGCCTAGCGGCGCCTACATCACCACCTCGTCGCCCACTATCCTACATCAGTCACTTGCTCGCCTAAGTCATCAGTTGAGTTGCCTATACGCGGTAAGTTTGCGAGGCTGCAATGACCGTGCTGACACGAGTCTAAGCGGGTGCTCCAGGTCAGGTTCACGTGCACTGACACGACTTTAGGTTCTATTGACATCCCAGCCAGAACACAGCGACAGTCGCATCACGCCAGCACTTAACCAGTGCTGTATATTTTACTTTTTATTCTTCTTTCTTGCGCTCGCTTTCTCATATTATCATTTGCTTTTTTGGTCGCAATCAAGCCTATAACCGGCAAGCGTACACATTTAACCCAGAATCTTTGCGGGACCCTGATCGGTTCGGCACTGAGCCGCAACGGCAATGGGAGGAGACCCTTCGAATGTGCATGCGGCACAACCTCCGTTACATATCCACCGCCCTATCCCGCGGCGAACCTTTGAGCGTAGCGATTCCGCAGATTCACCCACGCACGACTTTACGCAATCCACGCCCCCGAGCGCAACAGAGAACCGTCGAGCGAATGACTTTGTCGCACAATTGAACGCGCGCCTACTTCGAACATACTACAATTCTCGCAACGATGACTCGGATGAGCAGGAGCGCGGCCCGCCCCCGCGGAATCAGAGTCTCCTGAACCTCACAAGCAGCACGCTGTCTGGCATCTATGATGAGTCGGGAGATCAGAGCTCGGCAGAGACGCCTTGGGGGACAGGCGCAGAGACACCAAAACACACATTTGCAGGCTCTCAGGCCAGGGCAACCGGCATGGGCAGCCCCGATGGAGGAGTGAGCCTGTACAACCGCGCCAGGAAGGGGTCAGCCATGTATCCGCCTGACGCGAGGAAAAGGAGTCATTCGATCAAGCAGCCACGGCAGGGCACATGGAAGTACCTTGTCATCGCGGGAAAACTCGCGGCACTATATGTCTTTGGCGTCATGTACGGCGTCATCGTCTCGCATATTCACGAGACGAAGCAGTTGGCTGCCATACACGTTGACGGGGTTGATCAAAAGGGGCACGCCTACTTGGCGACCTGGGGACTGTTTGGCGTCGCGCTGGGCAGTCTACTCCCATATGTTGATCTCCTATGGAACGCACAGAGTAGCGAGAGCGAGATCCAACCAGGAGGCAAGGAAGCCGAGGAGCACGACCCTCCCATCAGCGAGCAAGTCAACGACGTTGTAAGAAGCGTCGCGGCTTTCATCGGCATCGCATTCGCCATTGTAAGTATTCTACATCCTAAAATCTGTTTTTCGGGACCCCTCCCTTTCCCCTTTTCAAAAGGCTAACACAAACTTTACCAGCGCCGCCTCCCGTGGCAATCCACCCTCCAACTTACCCTCACGCTCGCTCTCGTAAACCCCGCCCTGTGGTACATACTCGACCGCTCGAAACCAGGACTCTCCGTCTCGCTGACCGTGACATCCATCCTCACCTCGCTCATTTTCCTCTCCAACCCCGATGTCCTGCCTTCTCCGTTTCTACCGGCATCCATGAACGCCACGCACCTGCCATCCACGACAAGGAATCCACAAGTAAAAGGAGGATTGAACACTGGAGCCCCCATGGCACAGACACTGTTCCTTGGCATGATTAGCTACGAGGAACTGGCTGTAGTGACATGGGTTGGTAGCGTATTGTTCTGCAGCTGTGTCTGCTTTGGAAGTATAGGCAGGAGACTAGCTGTTCTTGACGAAAGTCCACGAAAGAGATGATACAGTGTTGTTTCAGGTACTTTGTACAAGGAAGAATGTAGAGGAAGAGAAGAAAAAGACAAAGACGATGACGATTATAAGAGTAAAAGTCTTGTTTAGCAATTGCACTGCAAGTAGCTTATCACGCATTATTCTCCTCTCCAGGCACGTCTATTGGAAGGGGGCGTTTATACGGAATATAGAATAAACACATCGGTCCTACGTAGGCCGTTTGGAAAGCATATCATTTCGTCTTTTGAAATAAGTGACTTTGTATCAAGAATGTTTCAATCTAGCACTTCTTCATCTTTTTTTTTAAAAAAAAAAACAAACAAAGTGGATATCCACAAACCTTGACAAGACAGAAAAGAACCAATATCGAAAGAAGAAGAAAAACAAATTTCTTATTGAAACAATACCAGTCTCAAGCCCCCTCCAAACCCCCCAAGCCAAAAAGAGTAGAAGAAAAGAAGATGAGAAGAGAAAAAAAAGAAATGTCGCAAACTTGGCGGTACTGGGAACTACAGACATATTGTTAGATAAAACAATGTCTCAGTAAATGGACCAAGAGGAAGAACAACGTACTCGAACCCAGGCTGGCGCGGATCTGGATCAGGACAACTTAAGAGTGTCCGCCAGCCACAACGCGACGTCATACCACTAGCTAATAAGAGGTATTAGTTTTTGTTGCGTTGGGTGTGGATAGGATGGAAACGTACACCATACCACCGTTGGGTACTCTGAGCTCTGAGCTCTGATTGGCTGGTTGATGGTGGGTTTGGGATTTGATTGTGATATGACGATGTGGAAAAGGCGAGGTGGGGAACTTTTCTTTTTTTTGGAAGTGGTGGGATTGATTTTTTGGTCATAGAAATGTGGTTCTTTTTTTTGGCCATCCGAATTGGGTTGGGATTGCATCGTGGGGCAAGGCAGTTCGCCGATATCTCAGTGTGGAGAACGTTGGACGAGTGGGTCGTAGGATTTGGAACCATGTGAGGTAAAGGTCAACACCATACAATAGGCCAGGGTTAGAGTAGGACACTGTGTCAACTGTATCCTGCCGCTATCGTGACGTAGCAAAGGACGTTCGAATGTCCAGAGTATCGCACACATTACACACACACACACACACACACACACACACAATATCTCTTGGTTATCAGTATATTATTAGTCTATAGAGACTTTGTAACATTGAAAGCTTTCATTTCACCAGACGTAGCTTTTCAATATAGTCATTCCAAGATCTTCACCAGACCAGCATCTTTTGCTAGCCATCTTCTCCGCCTCATGATTGCATCTTTTCGTGTCAGACGCTTGCTCCACTTCCATACTCAATCAAGAGCATGGAGTAGAGTGTATTAAAACAACAAGGCTAGAGTAAAACCCGTTTACTGTGCCTTAGAAAGCTTCGCCCTGCTAGCAGCGAGGGCACCAGAAAGACTGAACTGAGTCTTGATACCGTCAATACGGTGGACAGCGTTGAGGTTCTTGACACAGGTGATTTGAAAGCAGGTGGCACTACCCTGGCGGGAAGTGATGGTGGAGTAGGCGAGGAAGTACTCCCAGATCTAGGCAACTATTAGCTTATAGAAGATGTTTTGGAGCATGAGAGAAATTACCTTGAACCAACGAATGCCATACTTGGCAACAACCTTGTCCTTGTTGGCGAGCCAGTTACGGTACCACCTCCAGAGAGTAGCAGAGTAGTGTACACCAATGGTGTCTACCATCTTGACTTCAAAACCAGCAGCCTCGAGGGTGTCGACGACAAAACCAAGAGGAGTAGACGCGTCGGCACCAGGGAAGACGTACTTGTTCATGAAAAGACCCCAGGTGAAGTCCTCGAATTGCCATGCTTTACGCAGACCAGCGATCTGAAGGAAGAAGACACCATCGTCGTCAAGCATATCGTAGACCTGACGGAAGAAAGCACTCAAGTGACGGACACCAACGTGCTCAGCCATCTCAAGACAAGTGATCTTGTTGTAGCCACCAGAAGGAACGGGAATTTCACGGTAGTCCATGCAGAGAATGTTGGACTGCTCAGCCTCGATACCAGCTTTCCTAAGACCGTTGTTGCCCCAAGCAGTCTGGTTGCGACCAAGAGTAATACCAGTGACCTTTGCGCCATAGTTGACAGAGGCGAATCGTGTAAGTGTGCCCCATCCACAACCAATGTCGAGCATCTTCTCGCCAGGCTGCAGGTCGATCTTTTCACAGACGACAGCCATCTTGTTGTCCTGTAGTTGCTCTAAGCTCTCTTCCGTGTTGATATCAGAGATGATACCAGAGGTGTAAATCATGCGAGGACCGAGGAACCAGCCGTAGAAATCGTCACCGCGGTCATAGTGGTCGCGGACCTGTTCTTCGTCTAGTGCGGGGTCAGCATATGCAGAAATTAGGGATATAGGGTGTCCTTACCCTGAGACTTGGAGTGGACAATCATTTCTGGGATCATGCCGAAGAGGAAGTGCTTGATCAGTCCAAGGGTGAAGCGGGGCTTGGACCAGTCATGGCGCCATTCGAGGATCTCGAGCATATCGCCATTGAGCTCAATTTCACCGTCAAAGTACTTTTCCTGGAATGTCTCGATAGGGATCTGTTTCTTGCCGTAGTAGGCGTCGCGGTCCTCGGCCTTGTTGAACTTGAGGTAGTGCTCGATGGGCTTGCCGGGAAGTTTGGCCTTTTCGTTCTTGCGGGGAGCGAATTCAGACGTGAGCCACCAGAAGGGACCTAGAATGGGAAGACACAGGACAAGGGCGAGGAAAAGCCATGTCTTGAAGCCCATGCCCCAGCTCCATGTGATGTATGCGGGGACGCCGACGAGCAGCGAGATGAGGACATAGTTGTTGAACGATTCGCGACCGGAGCCTTCTGCGGGGCATGGGGCATTTGCAATGGTCGGGTACTATTGATTGGCAAGCGTCAGCCCGGTAGCTCATCACATCGTCGTTCAATGGCTGGCGGGGTTGTCGTCTGGAGGGTGGTGGGAGACTTACCGAAGTTGTCTTCACGCCACAGTCGAACGGGGGCGTAGTGGGCGAGGGCGCCGGGGGCGTCTCAACCCACTCAAAGTTGTCCTCGGAAGTATTGCTCATCTTGCGCGATGCTCAGCAATTTTGCAAGATTCAAAGCAGACGTGTTGGGAACTGGACCCTTTTAACGGCGGTGAAACCTACACTAGGTGGTTTTAAGCGAGTCGGCGCTGGGGTTACGAGTTCCCCTGCAGGCCATGGAGACGACAGCTCCACACATTCGACAGCACACCGACAGCACTATGCACTCACACCGGTACATTATATCCTTCACTAGGCCCATAAAGTGTTCCCATAAGGGGTGTGCACTGCAGTGCATGAGGCAACAGGTGGCCGAGTTGCTCTCGAACAGGTGCATGTGCTCGCACTAATACCATGTGTCTAACAGATAAGAGCATACGCCAGACCCCGCCAAGCCCATTGGTGGAGAGCGAAGAGCGCTCAGGACACCTCTACCAATAGCTTCTTCTTGACAAAGTCCATCTGCTCCTTGCTCACGCCGGCTTTCTCCAGGTACTGCTCGACACTGCCATATCTCTCCAATATATGAGCATTCACTTTCGGTACCAAGTCTGGGGGACATAGGGCAAATTGTCTGGACAAGCCAATGGACCTTATCTCCCGCAATCGCTCCTCCATCTCAGATGCCAGCTCTGACTCGGACAGCTGGTAGTCTTTGTCGACAGTGCCCAAGTCGGTTTTCAAGAGCAGAAGAATGAGCATCACCACAAGGCCCGTTCGGTCCTTTCCCTGATGCGGATCAGTAATGTGTTGCAATGACGAGAGAATCAGCAGATACCTGAGTACAATGCACTAGCAGTGGCCAGCTCTCGTCCTTGGCAAGTACATTGAAAACTTGTGCGACTTCGTGTGTGCAAACGTCCAAGGATTGCGTAGCTAGGCCAACAAGCCCCATTTCCTCCATATGAGGAGCGAGGATTTTGATGGCATCTGTGCGATAGCCAAAGGCCATGAGTCCAATCAGCCTAAAGAACTCCATCCAGGTCAACTTGGAAACAAGCATGCGTGAAAAGGCCGAGCCATTGAAGTTGATTTGGTGATAGGTGATGCCGGGTATCTCGAGTGGTTCTGTCACCTCGGCGTTGCTCTGGGGCACGGCAGCCGACGCTTTGATCCTCGCCCCATGCTTCTGCGCCTGTTCAATGTGCTCTGTTTTTGTACGCAGGTCAATGATTGATTTGACATTGAATTCCTTGACAAGTCTTTGCCTATCCTGGTAAGAAGCCTCGTCTATCCCAGTCAGCTACATATCAGACACAGTACACGCAAAACATACATACCAGGTCGCGCGCTTCGAAACAGCAAGCCGGTTTTGAGGTTACTATGATTGTGATCAGCTGTGTTGCAATGCCAGCAGGGTGTCCGTGGCGTGCCTTGTGCCAATGCTGTCGTTGCAAAACTGGCCCACGTCGCGGAAATTTGACAGACTCTGGAGCGGGCTGTGTAGTTCTGGCATGGTTTGGCTCGGTAGCTAGCAAGGAGTAGTGGCAACTTTGTATCTTGAAGTTTAGAACCGGGGTGACGTAGCGAAAGGCCACACTAGCCCCGTCCCATGTCACACATGGCTTTGAGATGGAGTGCGCAATGCTTGTAGTAGTTGGTCCGCACTACATGCATTCGGCGATAAGAGCATGCGGGGCCAAAGGCATGCCAGATGTGCACAAGGATACGATGGACAGGATCCATTGTCCCTGGAGGCAAATCGCTGAGAAGAGCCGTCACTTGGCCTGTTTGGTGAGGCCATGGCCTGTTTCCAGCCCAAGAGACATAATCACCAGGCTCAGAGCGGCAAGGCGTCTGTGGCTTCTCCTGCGGAACGCCCGCCCACGGCGATCCTCCACAACCACTATGACATCATGCCCGTCTCCATCGTCATCCAGCCATGTGAGGACGCCACAGGCTGTGTCTGGTGCCCGCGCTTGCGCAGGTTCCGTGTCGTCGCGAGATATATCTTGCGCCACCATGCTGTCTTGACTGTTTACCATCACGACCCGCACCTTCACAATGGCAGCAAAAACAACTTCCGTCCCGAGTATGGCGGCGCCCGCTTCCGACACCAGACCCTTAAAAGGCACCGAAGATGCGGCTCCACTTCCACCATCTGCCGACATGACCATGCGTTGCCCTGATCCGTCGGCCCATCATGCAAACAACAATGCTCTACAGAACCAGGCTTCAGCTGCTGCACTGTATTCACACAACCCAACTAGCCCGGCCAAGGCAAACGAGTCCCGCCCCATGAACCCGCTCGGATCCGACGGCAAGCTGTCTTCCGCAGGCGAGTACCACATGCTATGATTACATCATGTCCTGATTGAATTTCTCAGGTGCTGCTGCCAGTCTCAAATACGCAAAGGCCCAAGATCTCCCCAGTTATCCTATTGTTGGGATTGACGCCAAATCCTCTGCAGGAGCAGCTGCTCTGCTAGCTAACCAGAACAAAAAGAGTCCAGAGTGGTGGAAGCCAGAACAATCTTCGGCGGCTGGTAAGGCTGCCTTGCTCGCAAACGGATACAAAATGGCGCCTCTGTGGCAGCCAGAAGCTAGCGCGGCAGGCTCAAAGGCAGCTTTACTCGCTCACAAAGATGGTGGGAAGCTTAACCTGTGGCAACCAGAGGCCAGCGCAGAAGGCCATTCCGCAGCAGTACTCGCCATGAAAAAGAAGGGACTTGGTCCGGAGGTCGACTACGGATACACTGATCAGGGTAGGAAGAATGCCTTCACTGCCGCTACCGATGCCCACTCTGCCTCACGACGACAGCGCGCCCGATCAAACCCACCACCTGCGCCCCTGTACCCTGACTCCGAAAACTCAGCCCGGAATGCGCTGGGTGCGGCGACACTGGCCCACAGCGCTTCCACACGTACCAGACCCCAAGCCAGCACTGCGAGCCCTGTTGAGTCCAACCGCTTGCAAAATGGCGCCATGGAAGCTGCGCGAATTCAGCATGCAAAGAGTATATCACGAGACATGTACGGAAGTGCCCCGCCTGTTGCAATCGAGACGGATGAAAAGAAGCACAATGCTGCTCTTCGTGCTTCAGCTATCTCTATGGCGAAGAAGATTTATGACGTGCAGCAGCAACAACGTCTAGAAAGCGAACTTGGGCCATCTACTGCCCGCACAGGAGCGTCTGCAGCGCAGAGCCAGCAGCTGGCCACCGGCGACGGCGATATCAAGCAACAGGCTATGCGCTATATCGGTATTCAGGAGGCTGCTCAGAAGTTAGCACAAGAGAGACTAGCAAAGATCGGATACGATGAGAATGCAGCCTACCGAAGTTACTACGGATATGATCAACCGACTCGCAACAAGCTCTCCCTGCGCCGTGGACGCAACCGTGCACACAGTGCCTCAGAGACAGTGCCTCCTGAGACCTCGGATTCCGACGAAGATGATTTCCGTTCGAGGCGCATCCGCTCCCAGATGGAGCAGTTCAACAAGCAACTAGCTGATGTTGATGCCAAGAAACGCGAAAACGACCGCAAACTACTCCTTGCTGCCGCACAACGTAAAGTTCAGGCACAAATGCAGGGTATGGATAAAAAGATCTTTGACGAAACCGGCAGGATGTCATCTACAATGGTGGATGATTGGGATGAGAAGGCGCGACAGCGTGCCGTTGCCAACTCAGAAGCTCGGATGGAGAACCACGGCAGAGTTCACATTGGCAACGGCAAGTGGATGGACCAAGGAGAAATCGACGCCATTGCCCAGGCAAGAATTCAGCCGACTCTCAACGAGATTACTGAGAAGACCGAAAAACGTCTTGCTGAAGACGAGAAGCGCAGAGCTGAAGAAGAGGAACGACGAATGGATGCGGAGCAAGAGAAGCGTCGTATGAGAATCGAGAAGGAGCGAGCCGATGAGATCAAAGCCGAAGAGAAGCAGGGCAGAGGTTAGTATTCTTATGCATATATCTGATCACACCGCTAACGTGCTACAGATGAAGAAAAAAGGGCTGCTAAAGCACGAGCGGCTGAAGAGAAGTTAGCAGCAAAACAAGAAAAAGAAGCAGAAAAAGCAAGAAAAGCAGAAGAGAAGCGTATGGCCAAAGAGGAGCGTCGCAAGTCGAGAGATGCCCCACGAACAGAGGGCGCTCGTGCTTCGCACGACAATGACGACTTATACCAGGAGCCGGGTCTTTCCACAGATGCCCAGCCTACATCCGCACATGAATCTGCTGATCCGACATCCCCCAATTCGCAAGAATCTCCAAAAGGGTTAAAATCACTTCTGACCAAACTGAAGCGCCGCTCAAAGCATTCACCTGCCAATGAAGCTGATAAAGATGCGAAAGAGAAGGAGACAGGCTTTATTGGTGGTGCAAGTCTTCACAACTCCACCTCACAGCCTCATTCTTCCGAGAATGCCACCCAGCCAAAACGTGATTCGATATATGGTTACGTCTCTGACAAAGCAGAGGAACCAGTGGAGCCGGTCCACACGATACCAGCATACGTCCCACATGTCGATCCTGTCGACAAAGATCAATATTCAGATGTCTCATCTATTTCCAGCCATAAGGATGATTTCAGACCGGTTAGAGGCAGACTAACTGGGAGAGTCGCCAGTGGAGGTACCGTAACATCTGGTGGAGAAAGCTTCGAAGAAGCAAGAGATTATTTCGACGAAAACCTAGCCCCACCACCGGCTTTCAGTTCTGATACGGAAGACGCGAAAAAGGGAGTCTCGAGTCGAGAATCTAAATTTCAAGAAATAGGCCTGTAGACTTGTAGTCAAAGGTCGAAGACTTCGAGATACATCCCTTAGGAATGAGCTCCTGTATTTGCCTACTGCAGGGTGCATCTAATTACGTTTTTTTGTAAAAAGAGTGCGAATGCGTTGTACACGAATGTTTCATGTTTTAATGACCAGGAAATGATGGGGAAATACGCCAGGAAATCGTAATCTGATGTATTCTGCTTGTGAGAAGTTGCCCTATGCGTAAGATATACGAGCGTTAATATCCGTGAGACACTTGTTTCTCTTTCTCAGCAACTCGCAAACTACAGATTCATATGTATTAGAATAGTCGGGTCAGGAGTAGTGGGTCGGGATCGACTAGGCAGCCAGGATGCAGGTACCTGGAAATAGTTGCTTGCTAGCGCACCATTGATAACACCTCAGGCAGATATATATTACTATATGACTATATTGTGAAATGGAATTATGATGTATTTGAACTTGATTAAATTGTGTATGTTTTAAACCTGTGTAACTATGTAACTTGTGACCAAAACTGTACTTTCTTAAGCCACTTTCACTTGGTGAGATTGCGCTATTATATGGCTGTGTACCATCGTTAAGCCTGCAGACATTGCCGTGCATACACAACTACGGCCACGGCAATGAGGGCTTATAGTAATTTCTGGCGAATGCAGGTATTGAGAAGTATGATTCCCCGTTCAAATAATTGCGCATGAATGCCATTCACTTGGTATTGCTGCCTGGGATCCTGGAAAGCACAGTTGAAGAGTGGGTCGCCAGGCAGACGTCACTGGTAACAGCTATCCTTGGACTTACTTGTTTGGGTGCTTACATCATCACGGATAGGGCGATCCAGCGTATGTGGAAACAACACGAGCTCCTTTCTACGAAAAGCATCCCCTACCCCAGCCCTCACCCCGCCTTAAACACCCGTCTCTCATTTCCTATTGCGCGCTTTCGGAGTTGTGCATCTGGGTCTACTTCTTCTCTTTTCTTTCCTATACCCGATTCTTGCGCGCTCTCTCACTGCGGTGAGCTCGGAGCTGGACTGTCGCAAACATGGCCCAGCGCCAAGTTCCATTGCACGTCACACAGCCGACGCTGGTATGTTGTCAATTGAAAGTGTATTTTATGGGACATGCCTAAGCTAACAATTGGCAGCTCACGAACCTGAACATTCTCGTACGTTGTCTTAGCGACAAGTTGGCGGCGGCAGAACCCGCAAGGATCATAAAGCTGACATAGACTACAGCCGGCATCGATATCATGGCAAAACTGTGTATGTGGCTTCTCGACATAGCAAAATTCAAACCAAGATTACTTACAAGATATTCAGACACTTGAATCCGACAAGTACGTCTGCGTGCGCCAGGTCAACAACGAAGCCAACGCGCCCGCCGAGACCGTCATCATCGACCTCAAGAATACGAACAATGTCATTCGGAGACCTATTCGCGCGGATAGCGCTATCATGCACTTGACTGAGCCTATCATAGCTCTCAAGGCACAGGGCCGGACACTGCAGCTGTTCAACCTCGAGACCAAGGAGCGCCTGCAAACGTACAGCCACCAAGAGGATATTCAGTTTTGGAGGTGGATCAGCCAGACAACTCTTGCGCTTGTCAGCACGAAGGCCGTATATCATTGGGATGTCCTCGACTCGAAGAATGCTGTTGCGCCGCGCAAAATCTTCGACCGACAAGAGCAGCTTGAGGTATGCAGACTCGCCTAGGCATCGCTAATCACATCTAACCCGCTGTGCAGAACAACCAGATCATCAATTACGTGACCAACGATGACGAAAGCTGGTCTTGCTTGGTTGGTATCACCTCTAACCCTGCCGGTGGCATTCGTGGCAACATGCAGCTTTTCTCAAAGGCAAGAAATGTGAGCCAGCCTCTTGAGGGCCACGCGGCTACTTTCGGAACTCTTCGCCTCGATGGTGCATCGACCGACACAAAGATCTTCGCTTTCGCAGTCAAGTCATCCACCGGGGAGGCTAAGATCAATATCGTCGAGGTTGACCACAACGCTGCGAACCCTGCCTTCCCGAAGCGCCTCATCCCAATCCATTGGCCCGCCGAGGGTACTGGCGACTTTCCACTGGGCATCCACATTGCACACAAGTACGGCATTTTAATCGTAATCACGAAGTTTGGTTTCATTCACCTCCACGATCTCGAGACTGGCACCGCTCTTTTCCTGAACAGGATATCGGAGGAAACAGTCTTCACTACCGCTCGTGATGACGAAGGTACTGGTGTAGTTGTTATCAACAAGCGAGGACAGGTGCTTCACACGACTATTCGTGAAGATACCTTGATTCCGTACATCATGGAGAACCCGGCATGCGCTGAGATTGCCTACAAGTTGGCGTCAAAAGGTGGACTTCCAGGTGCAGACCAACTTTATTCGCAGCGATTCGAGACGCTCATGTCACAAGGAAACTACGCGGAGGCAGTCAAGGTCGCTGCCAGCTCACCGCGAGGTTTCCTTCGTACGATGAACACAATCTCCAGACTACGTGCAGTTCCCAGCCAACCCGGTCAGATCACCACGCTTCTGCAGTACTTTGGTCAATTGCTAGACAAGGGCGGTTTGAACAAGGAGGAGACTCTGGAGCTAGCTCGACCTGTGTTTGCGCAGGGCCGTAAACACCTCATCGAAAAGTGGCAAAAAGAGGGCAAGCTGCACTGCTCCGAAGAGCTTGGTGATCTTGCTAAACCGCACGACCTGAACCTCGCTTTGGTCATCTACAAGGAAGCAAACGTACCTCAGAAAGTTGTCGCGGCACTCGCAGAGCTTGGCCACTATGACCTCATCCTCCAATATTGCAACAGCGTTGGCTACACCCCTGATTACAATGTCCTCCTTCAACACGTTGTACGTGTGAATGGAGAGAAGGGTGCTGAGTTCGCGTCTCAATTGGCAAAGAATGAAGGCGGCCCATTGGTCAGCATTGATCGCGTTGTTGACATCTTCCAATCCCAAGGCATGATCCAGCAGGCTACCGCCTTCCTTCTCGATGTTCTTTCCAATGACTTACCAGAAGAAGGACACATGCAGACTAAATTGTTGGAGATGAACTTGCTCAATGCACCCCAGGTTGCAGATGCTATATTGGGCAACGAGATGTTCCATCACTATGACAAGATGCGTATTGCTCAGCTTTGCGAGAATGCTGGCTTGCTCACTCGAGCCTTGGAACACAACGATGACCCTGCAGCCATCAAGCGCATCATTGTCCAAACCGACAAGCTTCCAGAAGAGTGGCTTATCAACTACTTTGGTCAACTGACTGTAGAGCTATCCCTCGAGTGCCTGGACGCTATGCTTACAACAAATATCCGCCAAAATCTGCAAGCTGTCATTCGCATTGCCCAAAAGTATTCTGACTTGTTGGGTGCCACTCGCATCATCGATCTCTTGGAGAAGCACCGTACGGCGGAAGGCTTGTACTTCTTCCTCGGCTCCATTGTCAATGTCAGTGAGGACCCCGATGTTCACTTCAAGTACATTGAGGCCGCAACTACCATGGGCCAGCTGAACGAAGTTGAGCGCATCTGTCGTGAGAGTAGTAAGTACTCCTTTTCGGAAAATGGCACAATTTCCGTAGAACATGATACTAATCTTACTTACAGACTACCTGAACGGTGAGAAGGCCAAGAACTTCTTGAAGGAGGCCAACTTGACCGAACAGTTGCCTCTAATCATTGTCTGCGACCGCTTCAACTTTGTACATGACCTGGTTCTTCACCTTTACAAGAAGCAGCAATTCAAGTCCATCGAGGTCTATGTTCAGCGCGTCAACCCTGCCCGCACCCCGGCGGTTGTCGGCGGCCTCCTCGATGTGGATTGTGATGAGAGCATCATCAAGGGCCTGCTGGCTTCCATTACACCATCGTCCATTCCCATCGACGAGTTGGTCGCCGAAGTCGAGTCGCGCAACCGTCTGAAACTGCTTCTTCCATTTTTGGAGCAAACCTTGGCGAGTGGTAACCAGCAACAAGCCGTATACAATGCGTTGGCAAAGATCTACATTGACAGCAACAACGATCCTGAGAAGTTCCTGAAAGAGAATGATCAGTATGACACTCTTGTTGTCGGAAAGTACTGCGAGAAGCGTGATCCAAACCTCGCCGCAATCTGTTATACCAAGGGCCAGAATGATCTCGAGTTGGTCAACATCACAAATGAGAATGCCATGTACAAAGCTCAAGCCCGTTACCTACTTGAGAGGGCCGACTCTGAGATTTGGGATTACGTACTGAGGTAAGTTCATTTATTGCTTCACATCAATAATGGAGCCTGGCTAACTTGCTACCAGTCCTAACAACATTCATCGTCGATCACTTGTTGATCAGGTCATCTCATCAGCGGTACCCTCTTCTACCGACCCAGACAAGGTTTCAGTTGCAGTGAAGGCTTTCATCACCGGTGACATGCCTGCCGAGCTGATTGAACTGCTGGAGAAGATTATCCTTGAGCCTTCAACTTTCAGCGACAACCCTTCCCTCCAGAACTTGCTGATGCTCACCGCTTGCAAGTCTGATCGTGGCAGGGTGATGAACTACATCCAGCAACTTGACCAATACACTCCCGAAGACATCGCACAACAGTGTATTGAGGTTGGCATGTATGATGAGGCTTTTGAGATCTACAAGAAGCACGAGAACCACGTCGAGGCCGCCAACGTTCTCATTGAGCACATTGTTAGCATCGATCGAGCACAAGAGTACGCCGACCGCGTCGACTTGCCCCAGGTATGGAGTAGAGTTGCAAAGGCACAACTCGATGGTCTCCGTGTCTCAGACTCGATTGAGTCTTACATTCGCGCCGAAGATCCGTCCAACTTTTTGGAAGTCATCGAAATCGCCACCCATGCTGGTAAAGACGAGGACTTGATCAAGTTCTTGAGGATGGCTCGTAAGACCCTCCGTGAAGTTCCCATCGATACAGCGTTGGCTTTCTGTTTCGCTCGCACAAACCAGCTGGCGGAGCTGGAGGACTTCCTCCGCGCTACCAACGTTGCCGATGCTGAAGCTTCGGGAGACAAGGCTTACGAGGAGGGCTACCATGAGGCTGCCAAGATCTTCTATACTAGCATCTCCAACTGGGCCAAGCTTGCCACTACTCTTGTCCACCTTGAGGACTACCAGGGTGCGGTTGAATGTGCCAGGAAGGCGAACTCGATCAAGACATGGAAGCAAGTCAACGAGGCCTGCGTGGCAAAGAAGGAGTTCCGTCTTGCCCAGATCTGTGGTCTCAACTTGATTGTTCATGCCGAAGAGCTAGCAGACCTCGTTAAGCAGTATGAGCGCAATGGCTACTTTGATGAGCTGATCAACCTTCTTGAGGCTGGTCTCGGCTTGGAGAGAGGTAAGCATTCCTAGTCAACTTTTCTATGAGACATACTAATATTCTATAGCGCATATGGGAATGTATACCGCCCTCGGAGAGTCGCTTGCCAAGTATAAGCCTGAGCAAGTCATGGAGACAATCCGTATACACTGGGGTATGTGTAGCTATCCAGCCTCACTATCGAATACATCTAACATGGTAATCATTTAGGCCGTATCAACATTCCCAAGATGATCCGTGCGGTAGAGGAGGCTCACCTCTGGCCCGAACTCGTGTTCTTGTACGTCCATTATGACGAATGGGACAATGGTACGACACCCCCACCCTGCATTCTGCACTTGCAAACATATTTAATGCTAACCTCTTCCAGCGGCGCTGGCAATGATGGAGAGGGCCCAAGATGCCTGGGAGCATCAGGCTTTCAAAGACACGATTGTCAAAGCCAGCAATGTCGAGATTTACTACCGGGCGCTAGGATTCTACCTGGAGCAACACCCCACTCTCTTGACCGACCTCCTACAAGCGCTTACTCCTCGAATCGACGTCAACCGTGTAGTCCGGATGTTCACCAAGTCTGACAACATTCCTCTGATCAAGCCTTTCCTTCTCAACGTCCAGTCACAAAACAAGCGTGAGGTGAACAATGCCCTCCACGAGCTTCTTATTGAGGAGGAAGACTACAAGACACTCCGCGATTCGGTCAACAACTACAATAACTACGACCCTGTCGACCTTGCACAGCGTCTGGAGAAGCACGATCTGGTATTCTTCCGGCAGATTGCGGCCGACATCTACCGCAAGAACAAGCGGTGGGAGAAGTCCATTGCACTGTCGAAACAAGACAAACTCTTCAAAGACGCCATCGAAACCGCCGCAACATCTGGCAAGTCAGAGGTTGTCGAGGACCTGCTTCGCTACGTAAGTCGATCTATGATGTTAGTAGGGTGCAATGCTGATTACTTGTATAGTTTGTCGACATTGGCAGCCGCGAATGCTATGTCGGTATGCTCTATGCCTGTTACGATCTTCTCCGACCAGACGTCATCCTCGAGATGTCGTGGCGCAATGGTCTTCACGACTTTACCATGGTATGTACCAGTCATTTGGTATTACATTACATATACTAACGTCTCGTAGCCATACATGATCAACCTCATTGCCCAACAGACAGCGACTCTTGAGGCGCTGAAGAAGGACAACGAGGAGCGCAAGGTTCGTGAAGCCTCGCAACAGAAGAAGGAAGAGGACACGCCAATCTTGGGTTCGCGTCTTATGCTCACGCAGGGCCCTATGGGTTCTGCCCCGTCTCCAGGTCCTTATGGACAGACGAATGGCATTGCACCACAGCCCACTGGAGGCTTCCGACCTTTCTAGGAATATGTAGCATGGCAGATATGATTTCTTTGGAATGCAGGGGTGGCCAGGGTCAATTTTGACTTATGTATCGGCATTTGGTGGGGCGTGCAAAAGCTCGCAATGGGTGCACCCATTCAAGCAGTATGGATGTATTTTAATGCAGATGACTATATGGTTCTATGATTTGTTTTGTTATGGATGGTGCTAATGCAATGCATGTATTGATTGAGTGGGAATATCTCGAGAAAAATGATTTTTGCTGCTGATGTGCAATTACGGGGATTCTTGTTATGTCAGATAGAAAATGCCCTGACTTTGTATATGTGCGACCCAAAATGCTTGTTCTGGGAGATAGCACGGCTATGTCATTTTTGTTTTGCATTTCTATTTTGCCAAACAACAATTTTATGACAATCGATATGTCCGGAATATCATCACCTTGCCCACCAATTTTTTACTTGACAAACTTCTCTTGATGTTGTCAAACGATGAGAAATCTAATGTTGTGGAATACAAAACTCATCATACAGTGGTTTCGTACAAGCCTTGGGAGAAAGTAACCAACAGATCAATTGCAGAGTTCCTTAATCCGACTACATGTCTACAACGTTCATTAATGCATCGGAGATATTTACGATGCACCAAGGCGCCGATGCGGTTGGAAGGATTTGTTACAGGGTACCATTTTGCAACCACGACCTAATCGTAAACCTAGACAATCTATTTTTTACTCCTAAAATATAGACCATCAGGCATGCCCCTGTGATATTCTCGGAATACTCACAATGATTTGCTACCTATTGTTAAGCGACACGCCACCCCCTGGAATTATTAGGCGCCAGAAGCAGTTAGTATGTTAGGCGACCACTGGCAATTGCTGATGCATCATCACCAATGCAAGGGACGACAACGTTGTGACTCGTAGGACGGAGACCGGATAGAAGTTAGCCGTAGTGTAGTACTATTTCCTTTTCATGAATATAAAGCGAACGTTGGACGTGACAAACTTGAATTCTGCCCCGCATTTTCAGTACTCCCATTGTATATATCTGCCATACCATCGCATTACTTTAATATTCACCATGCGTTCTTATAACTACATGACCCTGTTCGCAGGCGCTGTTCTCGCGCAAGAAACTGCCACAGTCATAAACTTTTTCCAATTCGACAGCACACTCACTGTACTGGGCTCAGACGCAAAGGCAACTACATTCCAAAACTCCTGTCCCTCAGACGCCGCCGGCATCTCTGCAGTACCATCCGACTTGCGTATGTTAAAACTTCAATACCTCAAATCGTGAACTATATATCCTGATCCCACTACTAGTACCAACTCCAGACGACGCATCGGCTACCCCCGCGCCCACACCCGCGCCTCGCATGCGCCGACAAGCCAGTGCTTCTTCCTCCGACGACTACGTCTTCTGCGAGCCCTACACAATAATCCAAGGCCCCGAGACCTACGAATTCCACCTCACCGACCCCGTCCCCGGCGCATGGACCGTCGACATGAAATGCAGCTGGAAAGGCGAAATGACAAAAGCAGACCTGACCTGCGACGTCACTCAAAGTGGGCATATTCCTGCTCAAAGCGTCCAACTAGCGACTACGAGTGTGCTGCCTCAGAGTGAACTCCAGGAGATGGAAGCGTACCAGGTTGTGAGCTTGGTGAGCGGAAGCGGTGCCGCTTCGCCTGCTTCGGCTTCGGCTTCGGTGACGCCTACACCTACGGGTACTCCTTCGCGTACTCAGTCGGGTAGTGGTACAAATGCGCCGGCGAGCTCGGGATCGAATGCTGCGTCGACGCCAAGTCAGGGCTTTGCCGCTGCTGGGCCCCTGCCTACGGGTGCTATGAAGGTTGTCGGAGGTGCTGTTGGTGTTTTTGCTGTTGCAATGGCGCTGTAAGTAAGGTGTGGTTTTTGACTATGTGTTAGCTGTTGATGTTGTATACCCATATAACTGTAATGTTCACCCCCTATTCTTTACATCCATCTCCTCGGAAATCTATGGTCACCATGTCTTTTCTTTAATCATCGTCATGCCGCGCCTTGCTTCAGTCGACAGTGAATGCGTATCCCACGCTTTGCACTGCCACGTAGTGACGCGAGGTTTCTGCCTCTGCCTTGGAGTTTTCACTTTCACTTGGAGATTATCTCGTGGTGACACGCACTTTCGTTTGCTTCAGATTCCGCAGTGAACGGTTCATTATCCCCTACATAAGACTTGTGGTTTGCCCGACCTTCTCAACCTTCTGCACCACCAGCCGAGAGTTGTACATTTCGATCTCGACAACAAGCAGCCATGGCAATCCCAAGCACTGGAGTGTCATCCGCGATCCCAGCCAGATCGAAGTTGCGATCCTCGACCCTCAGGCGCCATGCGTCCGCACTGGCCGAAACGTCAACAGAGAACTCAGCCCACGGGTCAAGAAAACACCATGGTAGGTAACCCCCTGTCAGCCTTATCCAATTTTCTCCTTGCCTATTTTCTACAAGACGAGCGTCTTCTTAGGGAGATTGCCGTGACGCAAGCGCTCAGAAGCCCTCGAAGAGGCAAACAAGCAGCTCGAAGCGGCCAACAAAAAGTTCAAAGACCGCGAGCACACCATTTCAGCGCTCGAAAAATGCAACGCGTCACTCAAGACCCAAGGTGACACCTCCTCGGCCCTAACCATCTCCCTCGCCTCCTGCCTCAAGGAAACAACCACAAGCCTCGACGAGGCCAACCAAAAACTCGACAACGCAATCACCAAGCGCGACAATCTCGCCTCCCAACTCCAAGAAGCAAGGGCAAACATGATGAAGCTCCGGCGCAGCGACCGCACCAAAGAGAAGACGCAACAGCAGAACCTCGACCTCAAAGCTCTTCTGCACCATCAATCCGCCAGATACAACAACAACAACAACAACATCATCATCTCCTCTCTAAAAACAACAAAACCGCCTTGTCGAAATGCAGCACGACCACCGCCGCTCACAACCAAGACATGTTGCAATCCGCGCTTTCGGCAGCTATGCGGCGTATCGATGCGCTCGAGACAAGTGGGGCGGGCATTGCTTGATGCGCTGGAGGAAGCAGGGTGGGTGATAGTAGCAGCAGTGGCGACGAAGACGAAGACGAAGACGAAGACGACGAGGCAGAGTGCAATGACAAAGAAGCAAAAAGTGGAAAAAGCTACTCGAAGCCCAAGTGAAGCTAGATGCGGTGTTGAGGGATAAAGGCGTTTGCGGTGAAGATGGGAGAGAGACGTGGTGGAATTTGCGGAAGGAATAGAATTCTTGGTGGTTGGGGATGATGGGTGTGGTATGAGAGGAGGGGAGAAGAGATGGATGGATTTGGAGGGGGTATTGAGGGTGGTGGAGGATTCGACCTAGTGGTGTCTTCGATACTCGCTGCGAGTTGGGATGAAGCACTTATGTGCACCGTTGGGCGGAGCGATACTCGATGTTCATATTGTCCGAAACTCACACTGGGCAATTTCCCTTGGGCCTTGGGCAACTTCTATCTTACAATATATCATGACTCTTTTTTTTTCCAGAAATGATCCGGAAAATACTCAAAAAGGCATGAGGAGCGTTTTTTTTTTTGGATTATTGTTCTAGGGAAGTATGCATGGTCATGAACCCCACCCCCATACAATGACTTCAAGAATTTACCGACTTTTTTGCACGCATAGGGAACTCTAACACACAAAAAAAAAGGGAAGTTGATTAGAATTTCAAACTTTTTTTTTCGAATGATAAAAAATAAAAAATCTACGTTACGATAATGGCCAATCTGCTTTTATTGCCCCCCCCACTTGGAAAAATAAAGTGGGATGGGCAAGTT